ATTTATATTCACTATAATTAATACCCAATCTAGGAACTTTCTGGCCTAATGACCCATTTGTACCTTGTTTTTGCTAATTTATACCAATACAAACTCTTTTGGGAAACAATACAGCAATCTATATTAAGACATAAAAATACTCACATCTCTTGACTCATTCTCTGGAAATGCTGAAGGAAGTTATTCAAAAGAAGAAAGAAGCTATACCCAAAAAGTTATTCCTTGTAGGGTTTTTATAACAAGTATTGGAAGTGTCTAACAATAAGGGATGGTGAACTTAATGACGGTACATCCGCTCTGAAATAATACCACAGCTCTAAAACAGTGCTGATGAAGAGGAACAATGCAAGAACATGTTTATCACAAAATTTTAAGTGAAAATGATATATATTACACAAAATTCTATTCATACACTGATTATAATTATGCTAAAGGATGTTGGCAGGTGGGTAAAAAATGAAAAAAAAAACTAAAAACAGTTATGCTTGGCTGGTGGGCTTATAAGATGTTTATTTCCACTTTGTTTCTGTAAGATACTCAGAGTGATGGTACCACAGATTCAACTGAGACCAAAGAAGCCCATCATGGGAGCCCGAGGAAAGCAGCCACAGCTCCCCTTCCTAGTACAAGCATTCAACAGTAAGCTCCCACACAATGAATCAGACTGCAGTAACTTTCAGTGCTGCCTCAGGAACACTATCCCTGGCTCCCACAATGCAAAGATTTTCCAGTACCCCCACAGTCACCTCATTCACAGTTAAGCAAGAAAGCGCAGCTACCAGACAGGATGACGACAGATGTCCAGGCACTGAGCCATCCATAGCTGTTATTTTTCATTCACATGGGCATGTGCCGGATCCAGCAGATGAAAACCAGACCTACCCCCTTCCCGTGCTTATGTGTTTTTTCCCCCTACTGCTGCTGCTGTAACAGCTAAGTGCCAATTATCTCCCAACCGTGAAAGCAAATATTGTGATAGCCCAACAAGCTCTACAAGCGTTAGAGGACACTGGTGGGGATGACTTAGTCTGTCCTGGCCTCGGTGTCTTTATTCATCGTAACAGCGGTCATTAAGGGAGGATCTAGTAGGTGCAAAGCTTTCTGCTAACACCTTCAGCACTTTGCATTCTTTATTTTCTCATTTATCTCTCCGCATCTTGTTGTTGCAGTGCTTCCTCCTGCCCCTAATCTAGAGGTAAGTTTGCTTTTCTTTGTCTAGAAAAAGCTCCATTAAACCACCTATTCTCAGGACCCAACTTCCCATGGACAGATATGAATAATTTCTTCAAATATGTGAAGGCCTGACGTATTGTGGTATTGTATTGCAGTAGGTAGTATTGCAGTAGGTGCTTTAATCAGGGTTTTCCAGAGAGACAGAGCCAATATGGGAGGACAAATATAGATAGATAGATAGATACATACATACATACATACATGCATGCATACAGATTTATTTTTAAGGAATTGAATCACACAATTGTGGAAGCCAGCAAGTCTAAAGTCTTCAGGGAAGGTCAGTGGGCTAAAGACCCAAGGAAGGGTTAATTTTACAGCTAGAGTCTGAGGAATGTCTTAAGGCAGTTTCCTGTTCCTTGAGGGATCTGTCTGTATTTTCCTAAGGCCTTCAACTGATTGGATGAGGCCCACCCACATTATGAGGGGGTAACCTGCATTACTCAAAATCTCCTGATGTAAATGTTGATCTCTTCTAAAAATACCTTCATAGCAACATCTAGACTGGTGTTTGACAAAATTTCTGGGTACCTGGCCTAGTCAAGTTCATACATAAAATTAACCACCACAAACAGGGCCCCTAAAACAGCAAGAATTAGATCAATAACTACATATTACAAGGATGCATATTTTGCCATCTACTTGGGTTGCAGAAAAAAATTGAAATGGCTCACTTGTGAGGCAATGTGCTCCTTGTCCCAGGAATATTCAAGTTAATGTTGGATAATCACCTACTAGGAATATTGCAAAGAAAATAACTACTGCACAGGATATTAGGATTTCTAGTGACCTCTACATATTCTTCTGATCCAAAATCATATGATTATAACTGGCACTGGTAACTCATGTAAACTACTTTTAATTCCAAAGATTTAAAATATTTAAAAAATTAATCTCATTTTATAGATGAAGAAATTGAGATTTGAAGGGGTTTAATGGCTTGTCCTAGAACTAAAATCCAGGTCTGTCAGTCCAGGCTCTTTCCATGACAGTGTGATCTGAGATGCTAACAAAACATTTCAAGACAGTCATTAGCCACACACGCTCACTTCTTGATGCCATTCCAAGCTTATTTCCACCCTGCTCATCAGCCCACCTTCAAAGAGCAGCAGCTCCTTACAAGTAAAGCATAAAACAAACTCCAAGAACAAAATGGGGCTGCTGTATAAAAGGATGATGTGTATATTGGGTCAGGACAAAGCTCTTCTTGATCACCTTTCCTTTACTTAGCATGGTCAGGCCCAACCTGAAAGCACTCGGTGGGATTCCAGGGAAAGAAGACATAAAGAGAAGCCCAGATCACTAGAGAGGAAATTACAGCAGAATTTGAAAATGAATCCCTAGCCATTTATAGTGTGTGGGCTTGGCCTAAAGTAACCTGTGGATTATAAAGACCTCTCCACCCTGCAGAATAAAACACCTGCAAGACAGACAAACCATGTTCTTCTAATGTTGGCCCACTTTGATGGGGGGCTAACAGTCTCTCTCTTTATTCTGTCTGGGGGGAAGAAAAAGGGAGAGAAAGGCAGGCAGCAAGGGAGAAGAGAATCCCTTCTACCAGGTATTTTTCACTATCCCTTGAGCACCCAGTATAGGAATTAAGCTGGTAGTCAAGGGGCACTGGGAACATGGACCTTGCCACTTTCCCAGCAATGACAATACCAGGGATCAGTTTCTGAGCATCTTGGTCTCCAGTAGAGAAAATGTGAGGACTACATTCACCATGAAAAGGCACAAATACCATTATACCACCCACAGCCCCACTGCCATCTTCCACATTCCCTCCTTCCTGTTTTACTCTTCCTGCCACAATCAAATCTCAAAGAGCACCCCATGGGTGATATGCAACTGGCACCTCAGCAGAGTTCCCAAAAATGTTTCCTTAATGACTAATTTATTCACTGCTGTTTTGTTCTTGGAGAGAATTTTTTTGTCCTTTGTGCTTCATGGTGTCTTCAGCCCATTGAAAGCATTTCTGACACATTTCCCTTTGTAGTTTTTAAAAAGAAGTAATTATATAATGGCTGACTTCTTTTGGTTATGTAGGAAATCAACATCTCAGTAGCTTTTTCAGACATGCTTAATAAGAAAGCCATTAGAAAGGCAAAAGAGAACCCTATCATTATTTTCTGGTTTCCTCTTTAATTATAGACAATCATCCTGAAGGAGGTGGGGGCAGCTCCTGTGACAAAAGTTGTCTAGCATTTAACAGAACCATTTGGAACCAGATTGAGCAGACCGACCTTACGTCAACTTGCAGATGCTTGACAAAAACTGCTTAAGGGTACTTGGATGAAATGAGAAGCTAATTCAGCCTTTTCTCTTTTCCCTTCACTCAGAAAATAGGGATGTTTGTTTTATTTTATTGTAATTCTTTGCTCAGAAAGATTAACATAGGTCTGCCTCAAAGACATTTATTAAAGCATGGTACATCCCAAAAAATCTTACTCTTTTTTTTTGCCTAAGTAACACAATTATTACCACCATCATAAAAGCCACTGAGATTTTTCCCATTTCCATATGCCCTCCTTCTACTACAATCCTGTCTCTAGAAAGTTAATTCTGAATTTCTCTTATACTGCAATTATTTATGATAGGAAGTTTATGATAGGAAGGAAGGAAGGGAGGGAAAAACAAAGGAAGATAGGAAAGAAAGAAGAAAAGAAAGAAAGAAAAGAGAAAGGGAGAGAGAGAAGAAGAGGGAGAGAAAGACGGAAGGAAGGAAGGAAGGAAGGGAGGGAGGAAGGGAGGGAGGGAGGGAGGAGAGAGAGAGAAGGAGGGAGAAAGAAAGAAAGAAAAAGGGAGAGAGGGAGAAAGGAAGAAAGGAAGAGAGAGAGAGAAAGATTGATTGAGTTTAGGGAATTGGATCACATAATTGTGGAGGCCAGCAATTCCAAAGTCTCCAGGGTCCACAGTCCAGTTTAGATGCTGGTGCTGGGGACTCAGAATCTGTCATGAAACACAGACACAGTAAAATCAAACACCCCTGAATCCAGAAGGGAACAATTCTGTCCAGGAACATCATGGAATGGCAAATTGAAACAATATGCAAGATACCTGCCTGCTTTCTATCCAAGATGTTCATTTACCTGGCTTCTCACAGTTTATAAAGCTAAGGGGAAGCTGCCAGTGGCCTCCATAGAGGACCATCCCACCATTACTCTATGAAGGGCACACTGTCTTCTTACTACATGAAATTTCTCATTCTGTTTATTCAGTGCTGCCCAATAATGCCCTACAGTCTTTGAGATACAGTGGAGAGAGTCTGAAATAGTTTCCCAGTTTTCCATGGGATTAACCCAAACAGGATTTACTTTGCTATTTGTTTTACATGTTTTGTTCAAGTAGCCTTTATTATTGTTCTCCCTGTTACAAGTCTCAGAACGGTAAAGTCGAGGGAGAGATCAAGATGGCTCACTACTAACAGGCAGCATGTGCCTCCTCCATGGAGAGGAATCAGAAGACACTCACATTTCAAAGAGATCATCTAGGGTTCACCAGAGAAGAGACAAGAAGCACCAGAAGTAAGGAGAGGGTTTGAGGCAGCTTTTTCAACTGGGAACTGATTGAGAGCCAGGAGAGGCTTCTGAATGCAGGAAAACAGTAAGCAAAAAACTCCCAGGTCTTGGCTTTTATGATCTTGGCTACAGAAAAAAAAACCCTTAACCCACTAGGCCCTTGTGTTTGACATATAGAACTGCCTAACAATTGCACAGAGATGTTGTTCCATAAAGGGAACCCACATGGAATCTCACAGGCATCCACACTACAGCAGCCTCAGCTAGGTGCCATTTTGAGGCCTAGGTACCAGAGATCTACAGACACAGTTGCTGCCATTGTATTGCTCCAAGGAGGGAGAGGGGAGACCAGGCACTTCCATGCACCCCTGGAAGGGTCCCTGCTGCCCTGCTGCAGGCTGCTGTTGAGACTGAGGTGTGAGTAGACCGCACTCCCCACAATTTCTTGCCCATGCTGCTTGCCTGAAGGGAGCCTGCCCTTTCTCGTCTCAGCCCCAAGGCACCACTTGAGAGTTTAACACTGAGCTGGGTCCTGAGCTCAGGCTGAGTTCAGGCTGAATCACTGTAGCTGCCAACTGGCCAAGAATGAACAGGAACAAGGCTATCCTATGCATACCTAGGACAATACCCACCATCCTGCCACATGCTGCTGTGAGATTAAGACTAAGTGGGCCACACTCCCCACAGCTTCTTGTCCATGCTGGTCACCTGAGGAAGAGCCCCATCCCCTCTGGTCACAATCCCAGAACTGGCAGCATTTTGGGGGTTTAACTGTGGGTTGTGACCCATCCTCAGGCTGAGTTCAAGGTGATGTGGCTACAGCCAACATCCAGCCAACAGAAGGATAGAGAAGACCAAGCTTTCCTAAACACACTTAGGACAATGCCCTACTATGAGAAGCTGTGGAACCAGGAACTAGCCCACCCAACCCATCACAGCTGCTAGGAACACAACATGGACTACTTGGGTACCAGTGGGTTGCTCCACCACCACTATTGCCATCACCCACACCACCACACCAGATGCCCAGGGGTGAGATGTTGATCACCACCTGTGTAGGTCTGTACTGCAGACCCTGACTCAGCAATGGATGAATGAAATATTCTGTCACACACAGAATACAGTGTAAGAGTCAGGCTGGGGATGGTCAGCTCCTTTCAGAGGGTGATTGCAGCTAACCAACCATGATTCCCTGTTCCTCCTTACATTTATTCAGTATAGATTAATAACAGAGGTTCTAAGTCAACACACTTGTGGATAATTAACATGGTTAAAAGAGTGGTTTTATGCATGATAAAAGCTTTTGGTTTCAGGGCCCAGAATAAACACCATTAACAGACAATTCCCCTCAGTCTCCCACTGAGGGGACCATCCAACACAAAGTTTAATTGAATAAACAAATTAGAGTAGGGACAAAGGAATGTAGGGTAAACAGACTTAACTGGGGAAGCTTTTATTATCCTGATCTTTGATCCTATGACTTAAAGCTCTAACGTAAGAACTGGCTGCCTTCAGCCCATCTCATTAAAACTTTTCAGGCTTCCAAAAGTTTTGAGACTATAATCTATATAACTTCCCTAATATCTCCCTTAATATTGTGTCAGCCACCCCACATGAATCCCAACATCGAGGCCTAAGAATTCACCCACACACTTGAAACACCACTCCCACTACTGGCTTCTAAGCAAGCCACTTGGAGGCCCAAGAATCAGCCCTTCAGGACCTACTAAAAACAGAGCAGTTTATGCTGCTTTGAAGGCCCCAGTAGTGCCTACTGGGGCCTGAAGACTAGCTCAGTTAGCATCTATGTTTCCAACAAAACTTCGCTACAACCTAAACTAATAACTATACTCTAAGCCACAGAGGAAATAACAGATATCCCTCACTGCATGCACTTCCAAAAAAGTCATTTTTTAAATCACACTATTGTAGGTACCCAAAATTAAAGCCAAAATATCCTACTCAACCAACAGCACACATACACTTTCAGGAAAAAATTCTCCCCTACAAAAGCAATTTCAAAAAACTGAAACAAGGAACTGCTACATCAGTTGTGCAGATACCAATGAAAGGACCAGAAAACATTAAAAAGCAGGGAAATATGACACCACCAAAGGACCACAACAATTTTTCAGCAACAGTTTCCAATAAAAAAGAATTCTTCAACAATCCAAATAAATAATTCAAAATATTGATTTTTAAGAAGCTAAGTGAGATGCAATAGAAACCTGGACATCAACACAAAGGAATCAGAAAACCAATTCAGGATATAATGAGAAATTTTATCCTTTAGAGGATATCTTTAAAAAAAGATTTTAGGAACTAAAAAGTCCAGTGAAGAAAATACAAAATACATTCAAAAACTTCAATAACAGACTGGACCAAGCAGAAGAAAGAATTTTAGAACTTAGACACAAGTTTTTTTTTTTTAATATAAACCAGTCAGACAAAAATAAAGAAAAAAAATTAAAAGAATCAGCAAAGTCTTTGACATGTCTGGGACTACCTAAGCCAATCAAACTTACATATTATTGGTATTCCCAAGGGGGAAAAGAAACCAAAAAGTTTTAAAAACCCATTTAAGAAAACAATCAATGAAAACTTTCCAAGTCTAGCAAGAGTCAGACATTCAGATATAAAAGGCCCAGCTAATTCCAGACAGATACATTGCAAAAAGGACTTCACTGCTACGTATTATGTTCAGACTATCTAAAGTCAGCATGAAAGAAAGATTTTTTTTAATTAGCAAGAGAAAAGCTTCTAGTAACCTATAAAGGAAATCCCATCAAATTAACAGCAGACCTTTTCAGCAGAAATCTTACAGCCCAGAAAAGACTGAGATGGCATTTTCAAAATGCTGAAAGAAAAAAAAAACCATCAGCCAAGAATTTTATATCCAACACTTCATCAATGAAGAAGAAATAAAGTATTTCCCAGACAAACAAATGCTGAGGGAATTTGTTACCACTAGACCAGCCCTACAGGAAATGTTCAAAAGTGTCTTAAGAATGGGAACAAAAGGTCAATATTCACCATCACAAAAACATACAGAGATATAAAACTCACAGTTTTTATAAAACAATCACACAAGGGAGGAAGAGAAAGGAATCAAATGGCAACACAATAGAACTTTGGTTCTGGGAGATATCATAACAGTCTCTCAGACCACTGTGCAATCAAATTAGAATTTAGGATTAAGAAACTCACTTAAGGCCAGGTGCAGTGGCTCAAGTCTGTAATCCCAGCACTTTGGGAGGCCGAGGCGGGTGGATCACAAGGTCAACAGATCGAGACCATCCTGGTCAACATGGTGAAACCCCGTCTCTACTAAAAACACAAAAAATTAGCTAGGCATGGTGGCGTGTGCCTGTAATCCCAGCTCCTCAGGAGGCTGAGGCAGGAGAATTGCCTGAACCCAGGAGGCGGAGGTTGCAGTGAGCCTAGATCATGCCATTGCACTCCAGACTGGGTAACGAGAGCGAAACTCCGTCTCAAAAAAAAAAAAAGAAACTCACTTAAAACCACACAATAACATGGAAATGAACAACCACTCCAGAATGACTCTCAGGTAAATAAGGAAATTAAGGCAGAAATCAAGAAGTTCTTTAAAACCAATGAGAACAAAGAGGCAATGTACCAGAATCTCTGGGACACAGCTAAAGCAATATTAAGAGGGAAACTTATAAATGCCCACAATAGAAAGCTAGAAAGATCTCAAACTGACACCCTAACATCACAATTAAAAGAGTTGGAGAGGCACAAGGAAACTAATCCAAAAGCTAGCAGAAGACAATAAATAACTAAGATCAGAGATTGAAGGGGATAGAGACACAAAAAACCCTTCAAAAGAATCAACAAATCCAGGAGCTGGCTTTTTGAAAAAAATAACAAAATAGTCCACTAGCTAGATTTATAAAGAAGAAAAGGGAGAAGAATCAAATAGACACAATAAAAAATGATAATAGGGCTATCACTACTAACCTGACAGAAATACAAACTGCCATCAGAAAATACTATAAATCCCTCGACACAAACTAGAAAATCTAGAGGAAATGGATAAATTCCTGAACACATACACACTCCCAAGACTAAACTGGGAAGAAGTGAAATTCCTGAATAGACATATAACAAGCTCTGAAATTGAGGCAGTAATTAATACCCTATGAACCAGAAAAAGCCCAGGACCAAATGGATTCACAGCTGAATGATACCAAAAATACAAAGAGAAGCTGGTACCACTCCTTCTGAAATTTTTCCAAACAATTGAAAAGGAGGGACTCCATCCACCCTAACTCATTTTATGAAGCCAGCAACATCCTGATACCAAATCTGGGAAGAGACATGACAAAAAAGAAAAAAGAAAAAAAACTTTAGGCTAATATCCCTGATGAACATCAACGCTAAAATCCTCAAACTGAATTGAGCAGCACAACCAAAAACTTATCCACCATGATCAAGCTGGCTTCATCCATGGGATGCAAGTCTGGTTCAACATACACAAATTAATAAATGTAATTCACCAAATAAACAGAACTAAAGACAAAAACCACATGATTATCTTAAGAGATGCACAATAGGCTTCTGATAAAATTCAACATCCCTTTATGTTAAAAACTCTCAATAAACTAGGTATTGATTGAACATATCTCAAAATAATAAGAGTTATTTATGACAAACCCACAGTTAATATCATATTGAATGGGCAAAAGCTGGAAGGATTCCGTTTGAAAACCAGAACAAGACAAGGAGGCCCTCTCTCACCACTCCTATTCAACAGAGTATTGGAAGTTCTGGCCAGGGCAATCAGGCAAGAGAGAAATAAAGTGTATTCAAATAGAGAGAAAGAAAGTCAAATTGTTTGCAGATCACATGATTTTATATTTATAAAACCCCATCACCTCAGCCCAAACTCCTTAAACTGATACACAACTTTAGCAATGTCTAAGGATACAAAAACAATGTGCAAAAATTGCAAGCATTCTTTTATACCAACAATAGACAAGCAGAGAGTGTGCATGTGTTCAGTCACACGAATAAACTCCCATTTGCAATTGCTACAAAGAGAATAAAATACCTAGGAACACAGATAATGAAATATGTGCAGGACCTCTTCAAGGAGAACTACAAACCGCTGCTCAAGGAAATAAGAGAGGACACAAACAAATGGAAAAACGTTCCACCCTCACGGATAGAAGAATCAATATTGTGAAAATTGCCATACTGCCCAAAGTAATTTACAGATTCAATGTTATTCCCATCAAATTGCCCTTAAAATTCTTCACAGAATTTGGAAAAACTCATACAGAATCAAAGAAGACCCCACAGAGCCAAGACAATTCTAGGCGAAAAGAACAAAGCTGGAGGCATCACACTACCTGACTTTGAACTATACTATGACAGCATGCTACTGGTACCAA